ACTATTCCACCAAGAGCAGGCTGGGAGATAGGCAGGAGGTGCAGAACTGAGCAGTCCCTCTCCCCACAGCAGAACTCGGCAGTAGGATCTTTGCAAAGCACAGAAATTGGGTATGTATGTCACTAACTCCCACATGTGCCCACCTCCTCTCTCTGCCTTGACTGCGGCTCTGGTGAGGGGCTACCCCATTCACTAGCTTGCTCGTCTTCTTAGAGCTTTTTCTCTCCCCAATGGAGACACAGAAGATACCCATTAATTCTTCCCTTTGTCCCCCAAGCTACCTGCCATGCGCCCCTGGGAGAATCTCAGCCCTGCTCACATCCTTGAGGCGGCAGACAGCAGGGTACAGTGTATTGCCAGACACATGTTCATCAGCAGACAAAGAGATGGGAAGTGGGGAATGTGGAAAGGGGAGAGAACAGCTTGGAAGAAGCAAGGGGAAATTCAAAGGGCAGCTCTGATACCAAGCCGCTGGAACCTTAGTTACCTCTCAGTGAGAAAACCAGATCATCCTCATCGGGGGTTTGTACATCTTTTGCTGCTGATGACTCAGATCATACCCTCAGAACCAAGTGTCCCATAGCTGGCTGGAGAAGTACTGGGGCTCATGTACCCCAGGGCTCAGTACTGGGGCCGGTCCTGTTTAACATCTTTCTCAATGATCTGGATGAGGGGATTGAACGCACCCTCAGTAAATTTGCAGATGACACCAAGTTGGGTGGAAGTGTTGATCTGTCTGAGGGTAGGGAGGCCATGCAGAGGGATTTAGACAGACTGTATCGATGGGCCAAGGCAAACTGTATGATTTTCAATAAGGCCAAATGCTGGGTCTTACACTTTGGCCACAACAACCCTCACCAAAGCTACAGGCTTGGGGAGGAGTGGCTGGAAAGCTGCTCAGAAGAGAGGGACCTGGCAGTGTTGACTGATAGTCGCCTGAACATGAGCCAGCAGTGTGCCCAGGTGACTAAGAAGGCTAATGGCATCCTGGCCTGTATCAGGAATAGTGTAGCGAGTAGGACCAGTGAGGTGATTTTACCCCTGTACTTGGCACTGGTGAGGCCGCATCTTGAGTACTGTGTTCAGTTTTGGGCCCTTCACCACAAGAAGGACACTCAGGCCCTGCAGCGTGTCCAAAGAAGGACAGTGAAACTGGTGAGGGGTCTGGAGCACATGTCTTATGAGGAGCAGCTGAGGGAATGGAGGTTTTTTTAGGAATGGAGGAGAAAAGGAGCCTCAGGGGAGACCTTATCACTCTCTACAACAACCTGAAAGGAGGTTGCAGGGAGGTGGGAGTCAACCTGTTTTGTCAAGTAACAGGTGACAGAACAAGAGGAAATGGCTTCAAGTTGCACCAAGGGAAGTTTAGATTGGATATTGGGAAGAATTTTGTTACTGAAAGGGTCATCAGGCATTGGAACGCGCTACCCAGGGCAGTGGTGGAGTCCCCATCCCTGGAGGTATTTAAGATGTAGATATAGCGCTCAGGGACACGGTTTAGTGGTGGGCTTGTCAGTGTTAATGATTGGATTAGATGATCTTACAGGTCTTTTCCAATCTAGGAAATTCTGTGATTCTGTGATTCTGTGAAGTAGCCGGAAGCAGCAATTGACCTACCCTGCCTGGTACAGGCAGCCACCTAGCGCTCTGACTGCAGTGTCAAACAGAAGAGTCACAAAAAAAACAGTGAAAGCCTCCCAACCCTGTCACTGAGTGTATCCTGTATAAAACCACCCACTCACACAAAGATCTTCACTACATCTGCCCAGATCCAGCTGATGGGATGAAACCCACATGAAGTAGTGAATAAAAGTTATATAGACTTTGTTACATTACTGTCACTTGAGTTCACTGTTTGTAACAGGACAGGCATACCCAGGTACTTTGCTGGTTTGTCAAGGTTACAGTTGCTGATGTTGTTGAACTTCTGCATGTAGTGGCTCGATCTGGTTGTAACTCCTTGAAAGCTGTCATCCGGCAAGGCTGCAGTCTCACGTTCTGATTGCGAGTAACAATCCATGTGACAAATCAAGGAACAATGGGAAAACACATCTGTATGGTGCAGTCAACAACTCAAGTGCTCCTGAAAACAATATATTGTAAGAATTCCTGGTTCTGCATTCAGACATCTCTGCCTGGAAATCAAGCTCAGGGACACCCAAAGAAAAACCTGACCCTCACCAACTGCCAAGAAGACCCTCAGTGACCGGGTGGCTATAGATCAACATGCCTGTTATGGACAAGGACAGCAGAATAACCACAGGCTGTGGTCCAACAATCCCGACGTGTAATCTCTGATCTCTGGAACAGACGATGCATCTGTTGTAACACTGACCTACCCCATCATACTAAGACATTTATAAGCTATTTATATTTTGCATTTTGTATATTTTGATTCATGTTTAAAGACAAGAAAGTTCCTCATAATATTTCCCCAAGAAACTGCCTGTTTAAATCAAGTCTGTTGTAAACTGTTTCACCCACAAAAGCCTGAAAATCTTAGACAGCTCAAGACAACCCCATCCCTCATAAACAAAATCCTGTTTACAATGGAAAACACTCTGCAAAGACAGAACATTTAATATATCAAATGCAAAAAATAAAACAGTGTAGAACAAGGTCTGCTTAGCACAAGGACAGCAGAAGTTTATACTTAATTTTTCAAAGCTATTTTAAATATGGTTCTTATATTGAAAAGCACTTTAGCTTCTTAAGGCAGAAACTAAAAATGCATTATCACAAAAGCAAACCTGTACCTTAGGATCTTAATGAAGTGAGAGCATTAAAAATTATCTATCTGCTAATTCAAAGACTCACCAAATAAAATAAAAGAAACTAAGCACTTCCCGTACTTGTAGGGAACTTCAAAAAACAAAAGTTCTTTTCCATTCTCATGGAAAATCAGAGCTGCATCTCCCTCAGCAGCAGGTATAAAAGGCATTTCCAAGTGGTGTCTAGTACAGTGCCACAAGATCTGCTGGCACACATCTAGGGCTACCACTGGAAACATAATTTAGCATTTAAGTTTGGGATTCCTTATCCTAAGTAATGCATTTTCACCACCCAGCTTGTTTTTTCAGCAACCTAAACTTAAAATAAATGTCTGATTTTAGAACCTTTCCTATGTAAAGCAAATGAAGTCTTTCAGTTGTTAAAAGGGAAAAAAAATTCCTTTTACCAAGCTACTTTTTTTTTTTTTTTTTTTTACTTCTTATCCCGTCTACTTGGATAATACTGTGGTGTGGAAAGAAATTACATAGGAATCTGAATCTTACAACAGAAAACTAAGGCTGAGTTTTAGAAAGTAATTAAGTTACTTACAGTAACAAGAACAGAAATATTTATATACTATCATTGGTACTGTATATTTCTGGTTACTAGAGTATTTTTCAAATTTGGATCTAAATGTAGTATAGTGGCTCTGTGAAGAAGCTGTAAAAGTACAAATACACAGTTTTTTTGCCCCTATGAAAGAGAAATGTATGTTTGCTACATTTTAAGTACCTTCTGTTTCACATTTCATTCTTCACTAAAAATAAATTAAACATAACCTATACCACACAAAAGATCTGGTAATACTTATGTATCTGCTACCACCTGCTGACAAACAGCATTATTGACTTTATTCTAGTCAATCTTAAATAAACAACTCCTATTTCCCTATAAGAAAGTTTCCACTGCTGCTACAGCAGCTCACAGTAAAAGCTAAACATTTTTAATACAGTATGTTGTAGCCATAATAAGTCACTAATTTCCTATCCACCCAGCCTGTCTGCATCACAGATTCACCACCGACTAGCATATTCTGCTCATAAAGCAGCTACTATATCCTTCATTCACTGAAGCCCTTCAGCAATTCCAGATGGTTACTGTAGTCAATTACTGAGCAATTACAAGAAACTGATTCCTCATTTACAAAAATCCAAAACCATTTGATTTGTTACATTAGCTGTAAGACTTTCCAAATGACAAACTAGTTTCTTCCGGTATTTACTAATCTACAATGTGGAATTAAAACATCTTTTTTTCCTCACAGTCTTAAAATTGACAGCAGAATGTTAGTAGAAATGAGTACTTTCGTATTGCCCAACTTAATTTTATAATGCTTTAAGCAAAGCCCTTGATTAGCTTCCAGATATTATTGTTGTTGAGAAAAAAGACTACCAAAAACCTAAAGCAAAAGAGAGAAACATGCTCAGTTTCAGGTATCTCACACTAAATTGCAGAAGTGTGACAGTATAAAGAGAATAGTTCACAGTGATGGCCTGTATTTCATTATATGGTAAATTAAATGAAAAAAGTATTTGTAATATTTACTTATATGTGCACTTCCAAACATTTTGAAAAAAGCCAGAGGCTCAGAAAAAATAATTTCATGAAAGCAGAATGTGGAGTCATATTATGACAGTATGGTTTGCTTGACAAAGCTAGTCCTATCAAGATTTATTAAGTCTCCTGGCTTATTTGATGAATCTGAGCTTGATATCTCCATTGAAGCCTGATAGGGCTTTAAGAGTGGTCAGTTCTTCCAGACTTAAATGCAGCTAACAAAAGGAGTTAAAATTGAGAGGTTTAATCTTTTAAATGTCTTAGTCACTTTCCATTGTACAAAAAAATAGTACACTTAGTACACTTTTCATTGGACAAAAAAATTAGTATTTTTCACTTAAGTTCCTGCGTGGAGTGACCAACGGGTTTTTTTTCCAAAAGCTTCCAGATGGTCTTAAAACTCCTTTTTTTGCCTGCACTTCCATCCACTGAGTGTTGTGGAAAGAAGACCAAAAAAGCCAACACCAACGCTGGGTCACCAGATCCAAAGTGCCTTGAACGCAGGACTCCACTGAGCAGATCATGACAAAAAAATACTCCCCCACCAGTTTCCTAACTTCAGTATTGAATACTCAAAACAAAACTTCAGCTTCTCGCCCCTGTTCCGAAAAGGCAGGGTTAGTTTTGAGGAAGGCAATTCCAGTCACAGAAGCAGGAGCGGCGGTTCCGACATGGTGCCACCCTCAGGCGAGGCAGCCACCACCCCCGGGGACTGTGGAGAACCACCTTTGCTTGTCCTCACAAATACGGGATCAGCCACCAAATACGGGACCAGCTACCATCCTTCCCCCCTCTCTGAGGTGATATGAGAGATAAACAGCCTCTTTCCCCCTCCATTGTCCTTCAAGCGGAGATGAAGCCCTCCCTGCTGCCCAACCC